ATGAGATCAAAGGAACTGCCTGAAGAGCTCAGAGACAGAATTGTGGCAAGGCACAGATCTGGCCATGGTTACAAAACAATTCTGCTGCACTTAAGGTTCCTAAGAGCACAGTGGCCTCCATAACTCAAATGGAAGACGTTTGGGACGACCAGAACCCTTCCTAGAGCTGGCCGTCGGCAAACTGAGCTATTGGGGGAGAAGAGCCTTGGTGAGAGAGGTAAAGAAGAACCCAAAGGTCACTGTGGCTGAGCTCCAGAGATGCAGTAGGGAGATGGGAGAAAGTGTAGTAAGTCAACCATCACTGCAGCAATCCACCAGTCGGGGATTTATGGCAGAGCGCCGACGGAAGCCTCCTCAGTGCAAGACACATGAAAGCCGCATGGAGTTTGCTAAAAAAACCTGAAGGACTCCAAGATGCTGAGAAATAAGATTCTCTGGTCTGATGAGACCAAGATAGAACTTTTTGGCCTTAATTCTAAGCGGTATGTGGGAGAAAACCAGGCACTGCTCATCACCTGTCCAATACAGTCTCAACAGTGAAGCATGGTGGTGGCAGCATCATGCTGTGGGGTGTTTTTCAGCTGCAGGGACAGGACGACTGGTTGCAATCGAGGGAAAGATGAATGCGGCCAAGTACAGGGATATCCTGGACGAAAACCTTTTCCAGAGTGCTCTGGACCTCAGACTGGGCCGATGGTTTACCTTCCAACAAGACAATGACCCTAAGCACACCGCTAAAATAACGAAGGAGTGGCTTCACAACAACTCCGTGGCTGTTCTTGAATGGCCCAGCCAGAGCCCTGACTTAAACCCAATTGAGCATCTCTGGAGAGACCTGAAAATGGCTGTCCACCAACGTTTACCATCCAACCTGACAGAACTGGAGAGGATCTGCAAGGAGGAATGGCAGAGGATACCCAAATCCAGATGTGAAAAACTTGTTGCATCTTTCCCAAAACGACTCATGGCTGTATTAGATCAAAAGGGTGCTTCTACTAAATACTGAGCAAAGGGTCTGAATACTTATGACCATGTGATATTTCAGTTTTCTTTTTTAATAAATTTCCAAAAATTTCTACATTTCTGTTTTTTTCTGTCAAGATGGGGTGCTGAGTGTACATTACTGAGAAATAAAATGAACTTTTTTGATTTTTGGAAAATGGCTGCAATGAAACAAAGAGTGAAAAATTTAAAGGGGTCTGAATACTTTCCGTACCCACTGTATATACATATACACACACACACACACACACAATATACACACACATATACACACACAACATATACACACACATACATATATACACACACACACACACACATATACACACACACACACATATACACAACACACACACATATACACACACACACATACACACACACACACACATATACACACACACACACACACACACACACACACACACACACATATATACACACACACACATATATACACACACACACACACACACATATATACACACACACACACACACATATATACACACACACACACACACATATATATACACACACACACACACCTGTAAACCTATCGCTGATCTTGTGTTTTACTGTTCACATCACTTCACTCCATTAAGCTGATGCCTGATGACGTTGATTATTTGTTACACCCCTATCTGACAGAACCGTATGTTAGAATGAGATAAGCAGGTGGAAACACTTGTGATCAGGCCGAAATCTCACCACAAATCCACACGTTAACTTCAGCACCTCCGATAAAGTGCAGCTCACTGTCCCAAGGAGAGCAAGGTTGGCTTCAGTTTTTAGATGTTTATGTTGCAAAACTCTACCAGCTACGCCACATCTGTCTGAGTCTGAGTGAGAGCGGATTCACTTGATTACTATCACATCGTACAGCGGTGTCGCATCAGCTGGGCGGAGATGATTAGTGAAGCGACTTGACGTCATGGGTTATACATTTGTTTTTCACTGCGTAAGTGTGGCGTGAGAGCATTTGAAAGGTGTCAATTGCATGACACATGACACAAGACAGCTTTCAGCCTGTCTTCACGAGATCTCGTCACACCCCTACCAGCAGGTACTTGACCAGTCAGTTGTTACTGTTAAATTAAATACTTAACTGATTAACTTTGAAAATGGCCAGCATCTCAGAATGAATGTGGTATTAATGTGAATAATCGTGGTGGTGACCCACTGGCCCATCAAGTGCTATCCTCAGATTAAATGATCTCTTCTTCTTAGTCTATCAGGCAGATTGGAGCATGACTGTACCTCCTTCCAGCAGGCTCTCTCCAACACAGGGACCTTTTTGATGACTTGTATATGGACGTTTGGCTATGAACTATGGATGATCCTGTTCCTGATGACAGTTTGGCACCCAATATCTTTTACTGTCATTCTACTGTGCTACGTATACATCATTATTTAGGTTTGCTTTCTATTTGTTATCGTACTGTATTATGGGGGTTTTTTGAATTTTCAGATATTCATTAAATTATAAATAAACGGATCACTTACGCAACTATTGTCTTGTCTTATATAACAAATATATTTCCCTGTTTTTACAGTCTCCCGGTATGAACACATCACTACCAGGCGTCGGTAAACTGTATATGGCAGGTTCAGTTTGGCTACAGCACTGTGAGATGGGCCAGATGCTCATGTGGCAGCCTAATAGTTTTATGGTTGTGTATTGTGTTTACTGCTGCAGAGTAAATACAGTTCCTGTTCCCAGTATGAATGCACCACAGGTGAATAGTCGAATACTGTAGTTCCCAGTGACTATAGAATAATATTTTTGCTTGAAGTGCCTGTTCCTAAGTGAGGCATGGGGTTCAGTTCCACCCTCCAGCAGAAAACCATTTGTTCCGTGAGTTTGCGGTGTATCATGCTCTAATGAAGAACTAGCAAAAGCTTTCACTAATTTTTACCAACTTTGATACATGTTGCTAATCCAGTTACCACATTTACATTAGAAATAAGTAAAACCAATTAAACACTGAAGGATAAAGCATCAAGTCACCTTAAGCTGCCAGTCAACATCCTGCAGAGTAGCAGAGGAGATGGAGTGGGTTCTGTCCAACAAAGCGCAGCGGATCTCCTCCTGTCTGGCTCTCAGCACACTCAGCGCAGCCTCTGCATGGCTGCGTCCCACACCTGACAGCCCAGCCAGCACCTGCACACAGCCAGCAGCACACCTGAGAACACCGCTTGAGAGCAACCAGCTGCTGTGTAAAACAGACTGGGTGCTATGTTGAATTTATATCATACAGATATGTACTGTAGGCTACAACTCAGAAGTATAAAATCAGGCTATAAAACCTCAATTGAATAATAAAGTAAAAGCCTGCCCACAAAATATAACAATGAAAGGCAACTCTCTTTTCAGCTCTGGGTGGACTCAGCTGACAGTCCACCCTGTCCTGTTGCTATCTTACCTCTTCATCAGAGCTGTTGTTCCCCACCGCCAGCTGGAACAGGGCTGTCAGGGAGTTAAGCAGCTCCAGCCACTCCTCCAGGCTCCAGGTGGCGCTGTAATCCCCCCTGCGAGGAGACTCCCGTCCACACAGTCTATCCACCACCCTGTGACACAGCTACACACCAGACAACACTGTGAAGGTTGGAGCTTAGCATTACGTAGTGTGAAAAAGATCTGTATGTTCCTCCTTTAGTGCAGACCCTCTGACTAACAAATTTAATAGTAATTGAAAAAGATGATGTTTTTCAATTACTATTAAATTTGCTCAAAGAAGCTCATTTTGACTGTTGCACTATCACGATCACTCATTTTTGATCTGTCCCCCATTTTGGGTCATGGCTTTAGTTGTGGATTAATTTAGTAGTTGACAGTAGTAGTCTATTTAAAACTAAATGATCAATTCATAATTTAAAGGCAGAACAGGTCAAATATTTACCATTCAGCATGTTCAATGCTACTTATAATTTTAGCTTTTAAAGCATACTGTCAATAACATTTCAATGAATCAATTTATAAACAGGTTCAATAGAGATTTTGGAATACACCACAACACCTGCTCTGTCAGACTAAGGTTCAGGCTTCATTTTCTGGAACGCCATGGTGAGGAACAGAAAACCACTTCTTTTTATTCTGCAGCTAAGTGCTGCTGCCTGATTGACTGCAGGTCAGAAATGTTCGGAGGCGCTCTCAGTACACATGATGTTAGACTTCTTCAGGATTCCCCAGGGGCCACCACCCCTCGTCAGACACTAGGACAGGACATCAGTATGAGGATTCATGAAAACAACGCTCGGTACTTACTTTCAGACAGTCTGTGACAGATAACCTGCTCAGTAAAACCACCATGTTTCATTTAGACCCACCTTCTGGTCAGCTGATATCAGTCACGTGGTTGAATGAGCTGCGTTCACGTGGCTTGGAAAACACGAAATTCTGGATCTCCAGTGAATTCTATATAATATAAATGTGCACACAGAACGTTGGTAGATGGAAACATGCGCTTTACACATTACTCGGTGTTCTGAGACCTGTACTGATGTTACACGCCGAACTGCATTTCAATCTAATTTAGTGTGACCTTGCTAGTCGGCAGAGTGAACAGTTAACGTTAAATGTCTAAAATGTTATTTTAGAAATGGTCTCAGATGAATGGCGTGGATCCCGGTCAGTCCTACTGTGTACTCAGCCTGTAGTCCGGTTCTGCTGATACCGAAGAACATTTGAAATCCCACACTTGCCCCATGGTGCTCTGTTGTACGCCGCTCCACGGGAACCGGAACGTCTCGCAGCCGGGGCATTTGCAACTAACATGTCACATCCTGCTTGTTTTCCACTGAAGTCAAGCCAGCCTCCACTTCGAAAACGACAGTCAAGCCAGCCCTCGCGCTGTTTTGTGATGCGTGCTTTTTCTAGACATTACGGTAACATCGTGTCGCAGCACATTTCAAAATAAAAGTGAGCTTTTGCTGAACATAATGCAATTGATGTGGCAGAAACGATTGAATAAATAAATAAATGCTTAAGACACCACAAGTATCAAAAGAAAATATTACAGTCTCACAGAAAGCTTACTACATTCAGCCAAGATTCGAACTCATGTAAAAAGAAAACCTGTTTCCACTGATTCATTTCACTTCAAAGTGACAGCAGACCACCTCAGGGTGTCCCTCTCTCAATATCAGAGCAATCGGATGTAGTTATTTGAAATTACAGCCCTTGAAAATGTCTATTTTCAGTGAATTTGCTGATTTCAGATGGATGTTAAAAGAAAACGTCCTGTTTCCACTGACTCATTTCACTTCACAGTGACAGCAGACCACCTCAGGGAGACCCTCTGTCAATATCAGAGCAATCTGATGTTTGGTTTTAATATTACAGCCCTTGAAAGTGTGTAGTATTTTCACTATTTGCCAAGATTCAAATTGACGTAAAAAGGAAACTTCCTGTTTCAACTTTTACAACCTTGTACCTTGTACCTTTTCTCTAAACCTATGAAAGTGTCTCAGTCAAAATGTAATTCAATGTTTGTAACATTGATATATTATTGTCGCATATGTTGACATCCTTGGAGGTATACAGATTAAATAACTTTTAATTTAAAAAAACAGTAGACCTATAATGTAACACGGTAGTAAAAGCAGGGAACCTGTAGGCTATGCCTACAGAAGCTTAGAAACGAACAACAGAACAACCAGCTGACCAAGATGAAAGACAGAAAGGGGTAAAAAACATATAAGGCCGACACAGTCGACTACTAGTAGGCCTATAAAAGAGGTATTGGCTTCTGATCCTCAAACTTGAGACCTCTATTAAAATGAATGAATTATCAGGATGATTCTTTTGTGGCTGTCCACCTCCACAGTTTGTCCAGTTAGAACAATTAATGATGTTGGTAATCTGTCCAATCCAATGACACTGTCATATTCTTTGTTCTTGTGACTTGTTTATTGTAGAAATGGAAATCTAGTATGAGCAGAGGTGTGTGTGTGTGTGTGTAACAGTAAACAGAGACTGGGACTATGTTGTTTTCTTCATTTGTTGAAAAAGGTCTTATGTTGTTTGAGTACCTTGACAATCATCTTTGAAATTTTAACCTTGTCCTTTGTAGATCCAATGTGAAATGTGTGAAAGTTGGTAGAAATGAGTCAGTGGAAAGAGGAAGTTTCCTTTTTATGTCAATTTGAATCTTGGCGCATAGTGAAAATATTAGACAATAGGTGCTTTCAAGGGCTGTAATTTCAAATAACTACATCCGATTGCTCTGATATTGAGAGAGGGACACCCTGAGGTGGTCTGCTGTCACTTTGAAGTGAAATGAGTTAGTGGAAACAGAAGGTTTTCTTTTTACATGAGTTCGAATCTTGGCTGAATGTAGTAAGCTTTCTGTGAGAATATAATATTTTCTTTAGATACTTGTGGTGTGGTTTATTCAATCGTTTCTGCCACATCAATTGGATTATGTTCAGCAGAAACTCACTTTCATTTTGAAATGTGCTGCGACACGATGTTACCGTAATGTTTATAAACAACACGCATCGCAAAACAGCGCGAGGGCTGGCTTGACTGTCGTTTTCGAAGTGGAGGCTGGCTTGACTTCAGTTGCTTTCCGCGGCTGCCGGGTGGTTGTTTGTGAGTCCTCTGGTTGTGTCAGCGAGACAGAAGAGACCCGGTATCTGATGTGAGCTGCAGACCTGTGGAGGTAAGGGGGGGTTGTCTGTCTCCGTCTCTGCAGTGAAAGCTGTTGATGTTGAACATATCACCATACCTTACAGTAAGCTGAACAACTGTAACGTTAGGCCTATTGTGTCAAGTGACTCTCCCGTGAGCTGCTGTACTTTCCAGAGAACAGAAACAGACACTTCTGTGTTCAGAGTTCCTCTTGCAGGATAAAGCTTGTGAAAGGCCAGAAGTCAGACTGCAGCCTCCGTATTTTAACTGACGGCTTTTCATAGCCCACTATACCTGGACTCCTAAAGGTCTTTAAAACCCAGGCTCAAATCGGTGAACCCTGTTATTAGGGCCCGAGCACGAACCGTGCGAGGTCCCTATTGAAATTGTAAAGAGCCCAATTTTTCAGTTTTTTTATTTGTTAAAAAAGTTTGAAATATCCAATAAATTTCGTTCCACTTCATGGTTGTGTCCCACTTGTTGTTGGTTCTTCACAAAAAATTACAGTTTTATATCTTTATGTTTGAAGCCTGCAATGTGGCAAAAGGTCGAAAAGTTCAAGGGGGCCGAATACTTTTGCAAGGCACTGTATTAGACATCTTGGTGTCAGTATTCTGTTTTGTTCTCATGTTCACACCACTGCTGAAGTACAAAAGAAGACTGGAATAACTTGGCCATCAGAATCTTTGTATTCAGAAAACCTTGCAGGGGACATGGCATAGGCCTACACTGTAAAGAAATTTGATGCTGATTGTGTCAGATCACTCCTCCTCCCTGGCTCCCTGCAGCTTCTATTCCTCTGTTCCTCGCACTGCAGCTTCCACTGTCTACACTTCTTCTTCTTCTTCTTCTACTTCTTCTTCTCGTTTTATAGCATATTGCAACCATGACTTTTGATCGGAGTATGTAACATGAACTATTTTCTTTGGGATTACTTTATATCATAAAAGAAAAAAAAACAACAACAACAAAAAAAACTGTCTACACTAAAAAAGTAAAGGGGATATTAAAGCTGCAAGCAGCATTGGGCGGGCCCTCGCCGATGTAGCGCGTCGAGGTGTGACGCGACAGCGTTGCATATTCTGGAGCTCTGCCGGTGTGGCTGTGAATTTGCCACAGACCTTGGACGCTGCACAAAGGTGCTAATCATCACTTCCTGTATCCCCTTTGTGGCCCTACTTAGCACTTGGCGCTATGACTATAACTGAATATTCGCTTGTAGATGTTTTCGGGGTGGGACTGTTATCTAGCACGTAAAGTTTGGTACAGATGTGAGCACGTAGACTGAAGTTACAACAACTTCCTGTGTCATGGCGAAGAGTTGATCTTTGACGCCATGGACACGCCCATCGACGAATTTCATCGTCAATGCCTTTAGAAGACACAGCAGAAATTTGAAGTTGATTGGACTAAATCCATAGGAGGAGTTTCTTAAAGTACAAAGTGTTTATATCGCTAAAAATGACCATTAAATCCAAAATGGCTGACTTCCTGTTGGGTTTAGGCTATGGCTCTTTTGTGCATCTGAACAAGATATACATACCACAGAAATTTCGTACACGTAGGTGAAACTTAGTCCGGGGGCTGCTCTGTAGGGGGCGCTAGCGAGCCATTTTGCCACGCCCATGCGCGAAACACATAAAATATGAAATTTTTTACCACTCCTGAATTTTGTGCAAAGTTTGGTGAGTTTTCAAGTATGTTTAAGCCCCCAAAATTGAGGTTACTTTGCAGAAAAAAGAAAGGGGGGAAAAAAAAAATTTCAATAGGGACCTCGGGCCCTAATAATTCCAACAAACGCAATAGGGACCTTACAGCAGTCGCTGTTCAGGCCCTAAATAATCCCTTCAGTTTCAATAGGGACCTCGCATGTTTCATGATTGGGCCCTAAAATTACTAATTTTGGCAAGAAACAGTAGGTTCCTTGCACTTTCCTACTTGGGAACTAAAAATAGTGATTTCAGTAGGGTATGCTGGTACAGGAAGCCACGTTGCCTTATATGCATGGCGCCCAGCCCCTCTGGGCTTGGATCCCTAATAACAACAGAGTGAACTTTCAAACTTGCAGACTGGATAAGAACGAACTCTTAAAATGTATTTTGTGGTTTTACCTCTACAGGATTAGGACACTGAAAGTCCAGTGTGGAGGACCGAGGAGCTGTAAGCGACATAGGAGGGAGGCTGGCCACTCTCACAGCTCAGCTAGAGCCTCTGCTGCATAGATGGAGCGGCTCCATTGGGTGCAGTATCACTTTCGGCAGCTGCTGGCGAGAGACTCAGGGCGGGGCTGGTACTCTGCCCCAGATGGCCTGCCAAACAAAAGCTCCCAGGATGCCCACAGCACCCCGCAGAGAGTCAGTGGGAAACCGAGAACGGTGTTTGCCCGCCATGGGCCCTACCAGCAGGAGTACGAAGCTGTCTTCAAAAGCTACAAGGGCAATGCCATCCACACTACCAAGTACAGCTTGTTGACTTTCATCCCCATGAACCTGTTCCAGCAGTTCCATAGGTCAGATTTTACAACAAAATAATTTAATGATTTTATTTTACTAATGAGAGATGGTCTTTTGATATGATGCGATATTACATAATGTTTTCTAAAGAATGCAGTTTTCTAAATGTTGTCGTCATGTTTTTTGATTATGAAACCTTACAGGGTTGTGTACTGTCCAGACAGTGCTTATTTTGGATTGCATTTGGATAA